CAGGCCCAATCCCTAGGTCGGGCTCAGAGCAGGGCCGATTGGGGGGTTGGGGCACCACCCCCTGTCACACTCGGCAGGGTCGATGGGGAGGTTACGGCACCACTGCCTGTCATGCACAGAGCAGGGCCAATCAGGGGCTTGGGGCGCTGCCCCCTGTCATGCACAGAGTAGGGCGGATCAGGGGGTTGGGGCGCCTTCCCCTGTCACGAACAGAGCAGGGTGGATAGGGAGGTTGTGGCCCCGCCCCCCTGTCACACACACAGCTGCAGGAAGATCAGGGGGTTTGGGCGCTGCCCCCTGTCACGCTGATCCCGGTGCCGGGCGGCCTCTCGGCTCTGCTGATCCCGGTGCTGGGAGGCATGTTACCCTTTTACTATATAGGATAGAGGCCTGGTGCATGGGTGGGGGCCTGCTGGTTTGTCCTGAAGGGTGTCCTGGATTAGCGTGGGGGTCCCCACTGGGGTGCCTGGCCAGCTTGGATGAGGGGATGATGGCTGTTTGCAGTTGGTCACACACCCTTCAGGGTGGGGGTCCCCACGGGGGTGCCTGGCCAGTCTGGGTGAGGGGCTGAGGGCTGTTTTCATGCTGGCAGGTGACTGAAGCTCCCAACTGCTCCTTTTTTTTCTTTTTCTTTTTTTTATTCTGGGCCAGCTTTAGCTCTGGCTCCAGCTCTGAGGCCTCTGCTGCTGAAAGCAGGTATCTCGTTTGTTTGGATTCTATAATTGAAACACTGTATCAACTCCAGCTCTGAGATCCCAGCTGGCTGAAAGCGGGGTTCTGGGGTTTTGTTTAGCTACTATATTTGTTACAATGTTTGTTAAACTGCAAGCTCAGAGGCCGGCAAGGCAGGCGGGGAACGTTGCAAGCCTCCATCAGTGAAGCAAGTAAGCCTCATGTTCGGTTCAAGCTGCCTGGCTGCTGGCCTCCATCTTGGCTGGCAGTTAATTTGCATATTGCCCTGATTAGCCAATGGGAAGGGTAGTGGATGTACACTAATTACCGTGTTTCTCTTTTATTAGATAGGATATACTAGAGGCCCAGTGCACGAAATTCATGCACGGGTAAGGTCTCTAGGCCTGGCCAGCGATCAGGGCTGATCTGTGGGGCAACTGGCAGGGTGATCGGGGGGCCCTTCTGGCACCTGCCTTGGCCAGCCTGGCACCACCCACTCGCTGGCCTTGCTTCCCGCCACCGGTTGCCTCCATCTGCGGGGTGACTGGCGGGGCAATGGGAGGACCCCTGCTCACACCTGTCTTGGCTTGCCTGTGGGCTGGGGGCAGCTCCTGCATTGAGCGTCTGCCCCCTGGTGGTCAGTGTGTGTCATAATGACCAGTTGGTCAATTTGTGTATTAGGCTTTTATTATATAGGATACCTTATCTATTATGTAATATTTAGTTGCTATAGATCCAGACTTGATTTTTAAGCATAAAAGTTTAAGACATTTTTTTTGCTTCTGGAGAAATGTGCTTATTTTCAATATTTTTCTCTCTCTCTCTTTCTCCCTCTCTCTCTCTCTCATTTATGTTAGATAAGAAAACACATATAAAACTCATTTCCCTTTTCATATGTGAAATGTTTCAATTTATCAACACTAAGATATATTAATTAGAATGAGAATGCAAAAAAGTCTAAATGCCTACAATATCAAAATTATGACTACTTTGTTTAAACTATCTTTGAAGCTTTCCAAGTAATGAAACCAAGGCTTAAGCCTTTTTTTAACTTCTTTATTCCCCCTGCAACATTCTCAAGTGAACTGGCATGTCCAGAGAAGAGATGCACACTCCATCGCTCTGTTCAGCTCCTAAAGTTCATGGTTTTGTGTGCGGCTTTCTCACTTCATTTCAGGAATGTAGTATGGAATAACAAGGGTGCGGTCCCAGAAGCTCTGGGGACCCAGGAGATGATTCTACAGAACCTACCTACCTCTTTAAAGCTCATGACACAAAATTAATGAACAAAGGAATTTTCTAGCTAGACATGGAGAAGGAAAAGAAGAGTTTCTTTGCCTATGGTATTTGCAAGCTTCAAGCATGTTGAAAAATTAAAGGCACAGTACAAGCCCAAAACATAAAATTTTTACAAGTTTGTTAATACTTAGTATTTATTTTAGGAATTACATTAGTACTTTAGGAGGAGAAATTGCCCAAGGAGAGTAATTTTTTTAACTCCAAGATAATTAAGTAACATTTTAATCCCCTAGGAAGAAAACATCAACATCTGTATTGGGAAAAATAAATTTTGTTAAGACTCAATAGTACTTTGCATTTTCTCTCAGGCATCTCATTAATTTTTGATATTTCCATGGGTAGATTATTACTATTCTATCTCATTGACATTTAGCATTTATAAGTGCTTATGGAGAGAATAGTTTATATAAACAGGTAAAAGTCTGTTCTCAAGGTTCTTTTGTGCCTTAGAATTGGCAAATATACATGAACCTTAATTTTTAAAAAAATTTCTACGTTTTCTAAATCAAAAACTATAACATAGCACAACATTGCTTTCCAGATTTTGTTTGTTTAAGTGTTAGGACTGGTCTCATAATTACTGTTTCCTAGATTCCTGGGCAAATGAAATCCATCATGTTTTATTTCAAATCTGGTTCTTGAAGCACTTAGGGACCTTTTTTAAAAAATATATTTTTATTGTTGATAGTATTACAGATATCACCTCCCATTTTCTCTGCCTATACCCCCCTCCTCAGTCCCCATCCCCCCACCCTATGCACTTAGGGATCTTCTTTATAGTAACCCACTGTCAGAAGAAGTTAAGAGGATTGGCAAATTAGTCAACAATAGATTTGCAGGGACAAATTCCTCAGAGACTGTCCATTTCCAAAAGAAAATGGTTTTTTTTTTTTTTTTGCCTGTGGGCTTTAATACTCTTTTTTATATAAATCAGCTCTAGGTTTTAAAAAAAAGTAATTAAGCTCAGGGAAAAATGGTTTCCATGGGCTAAAAAGTAGTTGCTTTTAAATTGCATGAAATAATTTTTCTCGTCTAAATAACCTTTTAAAGAAGTAGCAAACCATGGTGCATATGTGTTATGTTTTAATAAAAGAAATATAAAACAGTATTAGAGATTATTTGCATTATTAAGTGGTTTTCTGAAACAGTATCTTAGTAACTATATACATTTGTTATAATGGGTTATTATTTCTTTATTAAAAACGTTGAGAACCAAAAGCTTAAAGAGTATTTAACTATTCTGCTTTTGATTTTAAAAAACGGAAGTTAGAACATTAAAGGAAATTTATTATGTTGAAGGTTTCTTAAAATTTAGGGTATGCTAATATTTCCAATACACTCAACAGAGGTGCCTGTGTACTTTTTAAGGGCTTTTAAAATAAATTTTCCTCTAATACCATCTTCCTATTACTACATGCTTCCATGGTGAATGCTTTCAAAGAGTGCCATCTAGTGTTAATTTTTGAATTGTGATTTATGGACAAGAGCAGGAGGAATTTTAGACCCAGGAATGTGTAAATCAAACAAAAAGTTACAATTGACAAAAGTCTTAAGGACTATGACTTGAAAATACCACAATAATTAGACCTCAAAATTGTGTATGTTTGCATCTTTAAAATAGCGAGTGTGTAGATTCATCCATGCATTCATTCAATATTTCTTGATTCCATATATAATATATAAAGTTGGGCCCTGTTTTAGGCATAGGAGTGAACAAAACAAAATTTCTAGTCATGGAACATTTTAGTTTGGACAGACAAAATAAATATAAGGTGTTCCCCAAAATGTTTACACACACTTAATAATTCTAAAGGCAGTGTTTATTAAAATACATTTCATTTTCAAAATTGAGCTATTAGCTATTATAGTGTGCATACATTTTGGGGGGACACTCTAGATAGCATGTTGCAACAGTGATGAGAGCTATGAAGAAAAGCATAGAAGGATAGAAGGCTTTATTTTTTTCAGCGAGGGTGGGTGTTGGGGTTCCAGATTTAAATATACTGGTAGTAGCCAGGAAAGATCTCAGAAGTTCATTTTTGAGTGTCTGAAGATGAGGGAGTGTTCCAGGCACTGGAATCATCAAGTGTAAAGGCCTTGAGGTGGGAATGTACCTAATATCTAACAAGGCACTTTGGCTGAAGCGGTGAGCAATGGGGAGAGTTGCTATGAACTCAGAGACAAAAAAAGAGGATTAGATCAAAGAGATCTTTGTACACCATTCTAGAAACTTTGCCTTTTCTCTAAGATAGGAAGGTATTGGAGGGTTTGAGCAGAGTAGTGACATAATCTTTATTTTTGACAGGATCACTTTGGCTGCTATGTTGAGAAGAGACGAGAGGGGGAGGTAGGATGGGAAGCAATGTTAGGAAGCAAATGCTATAATTAAGAAGAGGGGTGATGGATTAGTTGGGAATTTCATATTTTCCATTCTATTCATGTCTTGTCCTCACCTGTAATGAAACCTCAAAATACTTGATGGGGAGGGCTCTATCGCAAAACACCTGAGTATGCTAATTTTATTTATTTATTTGCTTGTTAATCCTCACCTGAGGATACTTTTTCCATTGATTTTTCTTGAGAGAGTAGAAGTGAGGGGAAGAGACAGAGAGAAAGAAACAGGGATATGAAAGAGACACATTGATTGGTTGCCTCCCACACAGTCTCTGGCAGGGGCCAGAATGAGCCTGCAACTAAGGCATGTGCCCCCGACCAACCAGGAATCGGGAACTGGAATTGAACCTGGAACCCTTTAGTTCACTGGACGATGCTCTAACCACTTAGCACCAGCCAAGCCGAGTTTGCTCATTTTAAAGGAGCTCGGTATAAAATCATCCCAAAGATTAGTTAATTGCACAGGTGGAAATCTTTGTTTTGGAAGCCATTTATTCAATCCAGGAACAAATTCATGTAGTACGTTATCTATCACAAATCCTTGCTGATTTTTAGAACATGCTTTAAAAATTTCATCTTTTAGCTTCTAAATTATTATATTCTAAGGCCTATAACCACTTCCATTTATGCTTCAGGTGAACCAATGAAAGAAGAAAATGAAAGGCATTAAGAAAAGTCTTACAGAAGAATATCTGTACCTGGACTTTTCTCACCAAATAGAAGGATGCATTTTTCCACTTCATACATCTGTAACTTTATTTTTGTTATCATACTGTGACTGCAAAATCTTTAAAGTTTACTTAGTACTCACAAGAGAAAGTACAGATGTTTCACTACTTAAAAATGTACTGTCACAGGATGTCGAAGTACAGATTATTTCAAAGCAAGAGCTTCCACCGATAGTCCAGAATTGCTGCTTGCCTGCAGTGGTAGAAAGACCAGACAATTTCTGTAGAGCAGGACTTGCTGTTGTGCTGAGACACATAATCCAGAAATCATATGAAGCAGACCCCTCGAAGAAGGAAGTTTTGGAACTTCTGGGTTTTAAAAAGACTTGCTTGAAAGCCTGTGCTGAGGTAAGTGTAATGTCTCTCTTCTGTTATTAAGGCCATATAGTGATGACACATTCACTTAGACATTTAACTTTCTACTGGAAAGTAGAACTTCATTTCCTTAAAAAAAAACCTACACTAACCAAAGAAATCAAGTAGCCCATCACATATGCCAATAATTCAGTGCAGTATTAAAAAAATAATGAATTTAAGATTTAATGAATGAGGCTTGGAGATATTATTTTAGAGCATTACTTCTTTTTTCTTAATCTTTTAATTACATTGAGGATTTTTAAAGGGAACTTTTACATATGAAACAGGAGTTTAAGTAGCAATTGCTTTGGGAACCCACCTTTTTTTGGGTGGTGGTATACTGTAAAAGCTTTGGGAAGTAAGGATTTATTTAGTAAGAGGATACAGGTGGAGGGCATATATTCCAGATACATGAATGCTAAACCTCCAGTGGTTTGATGTTATCACTTCTGAAGTACTATAAATATGTCATCAGATAGCATAATAGCCTAGCCCAGGAATGGTTCTCATCAAGACTGATTCGCTAAACCAGCTTTATTTCCCAATAAAAAGTTATTTTATTTTCCTTCAAGCTATGTTGAAAAGAAAGAATTATTTCATTTCTTGTTTTGTTTTGTAGGTTAGTCAGTGGACCAGGCTTTGTGAACTCACCATCCCGTTAGCAATTGAGAATTTTCTCAAAGAATCCTCCGACCGGCGCCCCAGCATCCCCGCAGAAATACTGCAGCTGGAGCAGAAGCTCAGCGAGCCCGTCAGAGTGCACAACGATGACAAGCTCCGGCGGCAGAAGCTGAAGCAGCAGAAGGCTGCCGGAGTGGGGCCTTCCGCTGTCAAGGGAAAAACGAAGAGCAAGGCCCAGAGACAGGACACATCTGATGAGTTGGCCCCTTCGTCCGAGAGCCTGGAACTGAAAGTGGCATTCTCAAAGCTCACCGTACAGGAAGGACCAGCTGCCACCCCCAGGGAACCGGCCCACATAAGAAAAGCAAAGGCCTCCGACCTTCCCCCTCTGGAGCATGTGTTTGCGGAAGGCCTTTACTTCACTCTGACAGACATCGTGCTCTTGCCCTGTGTCCATCACTTTTTGGTAAGATTGATCTGGAGTGGGTACATTACTGTGAGTTTCAGTGTATAAAATTGCTTAAGTTCGAATCCCAATTCCACTTATTATCGTTATGCTCCTGGGCAAATTATTAATATCTGCCTCCATTTTCTTATCTGTAAAATAGGGCTAATATAATAATAGTACCTATCTAATAGGACGAGTGTGAGGAATAAATGATAACTTGTATAAATTGTGGACAACAGTGTAAGCTCTCAATAAGTATAATTATGACTTTAAATTTTGAGTTGTTAAAATGTTATCAATTAATTGTTATGATAAGTAATTTCAAATTGCTATTGTGATTCTCTTCTAATACTAGAGGTTCCACTGTTCAAGCACCTAAAATTCTTGTCAGCTAGCCTGGCCTGCATTGCTTAGTGGTTGAATGTCAACCTATGAACCAGGAGGTCGAGGTTCAATTCCCGGTCAGGGCACGTGCCTGGGTTGCGGGCTCTTTCTCTAGTGTGGGGCCTGTAGGAGGCAGCCAATCAATGATTCTCTCTCATCATTGATGTTTCTCTCTCCCTCCCTCTCCCTTCCTCTCTGAAATCAATAAAAATATACTTTAAAAAAATAAATTAAAAAAATAATAAAAGTCTTGTCAGCTATATTTTATAATTTGCTCGGGTCCAACCCAGCAGCTCCAGGGGTTCCCAAAGGTGTAGACGGAGTCGGCGAAGAAGGAATGACACAGAGACAGCGTTCAGTTGATCAGCAACCTAGCCAGGATCTCTAGCCAAGTTCTGGTCAGGATCTCCAGCCAGGTTCTGTGTCCATGTTCTCTCGCTAGGTTCTCCAGCCAGGTTCTGTAGCCATGTTCCCTCGCTAGGTTCTCCAGCCAGGTTCAGTCACCAGGTTCTAGTCTGGTTCTCTTGCCATGTTCTATCCAGGCTCTGTAGCCAGGTTCTCTCGCTAGGCTCTGTCTCTAGGTTCTGTTTCCTGTTGTCTTGTTACATCTGTATTTATACCAGTTGATTCCAATCCTATCCATATCTATTCACTTAGTTAAGGGGTTTTATTCCCTCCCTAACTTCAGGGGAAAATCCCTACCTGGGGAAACAACCTTTCTCGGAGAGGTGACCTTGGTTAAAACACATAGCACCAAGAAGGTGAGCAAACATATTAAGAACAGTATGCCATATACACCAGGTCCCTTGAAACATATGCTGTGCAGATGTTTCTTTCCTGCAGCGACTGTGTCAAGCAGCAAGGATGGACCGGCTTCCGGGAATAATTAAGTTGTCACTTAAAACACTAATTTAATTATGTTGTTATTAAATCAAAAATATTTTATCCTCATCCATATGCCTCCCTGTTGACCATAAAATTACATGGAAAGTTTTCTTTCCTACTAGGGGCATGGAGATGTATACATTCCTCCACTCTCCATTCCCTCCCTGTATGGAAAAAAAATGATAAGGTGAAAATAACATCAGAGTGAACATGGGAAGCTGTATCTCTCTGCAGCTTTCCAGTTGGTTTTCAAGAGCTGCATTTTTCTTGCTTTGAAGTATTTCACCTTTTCCCTACTAAGGAATCAGGTACCAGATTTCATTCTCATTATATATTACCAATACTTCAGGTATCTCTACTGACATGAGAAAAGACTTCTGAGGAAAATCTATATATTTGGAGGCCAGAGCTTTACTAAGGTGGTATTAATCAATTGGCATTTTCTTAAAGAACATTTTTCTTCAAAATGAAAATAGAATAAGATTATAAACCAAAATAACTTCAGAATTAAAGGATATTAAAAGTTTCAGGAATTGTTTAGGTGTTGATTAGTATTTTAAAGGTCATACATATTCATATTGTCCATTGAGATGGGTAAGGAAAAAGATCATCTGTTTTTGTTCCTTGTCAATGTAAATTCTCTTATGACTGACTTCTCCCCTCTATTACCAACTTCAGTCATTAGAGCAGTCACTTGTTATATGTTATGAAATACTGTTGATGGTCTGCTTGAATAACTACAGTTGCTTCTAATGTCATAAATAAGTTGAATCAAAGTGGCACATCCATGAATTCATTTGAAACATTTATTGAAAGTCTACTACTATAGGCACTAGGAATATCGTGATGAACAAGACAAATAAGGTCCAGCCCTCTTGGAGTTAATATTCTAGTAGGATAAGATAGAAATGAACACGTAAACAAAAAAATAATACATCCTATATAATAAAGAGGTTATATGCAAATGGTCATTATGTCCTGAAGTGAAACGACCTATCAACAGGAGGGCGGGGCAGTGTAAGGATTGATCAGCAGGAGGGCCGGGCAGCGAGGTATGTGCGAAGGAGAGCTACCAGCTGAGCTACAAGTGAGGTGGCCAGCGGAGGCAAGCAGCAGCGAGCTACTCAGGCAAGGATTCATGCGCAGGGCCACTAGTATTTAAATAATGTAATTGCTACAAAGAAAATAAAACAAGGTGATAGAGAAGATGAGTACTTGCTTTCAAACTCAACAAAACATAAAAAATTGGATTCACCTGCATGAAGGTAATTTTAGATCATTATCCAGACATCCATCTTCAGCTAGTTTGCATTTGATTTTAGCTTAATTTAAATACTATTTACCTGATTAGGGTCAATTGAGGTTGAAGTATTACTAATTGAGAGGGTTTTTTTCCTCCTCTTTAATCAGGCAGTACATCTACTAACTACCCCTGCGTCAATCTACCTAATACTACAGAGAGAAACTTGTTTTCATCTCAATTTTAAATAGGGGGAAACTTGTACACTCAGCCTTTTCTATTACATGTATCCTATGATTAAATTCTTCTCTTGCCATTTCTATGTAAACTAATTCTTAAAATATTTTCTTTTGTTTGCTTGTAATTTTCTTGGATCTGTACCTTTTCTTTTAGGAATTAATCTTTCTTTGCCAAAGCCTTGATGTTATTTCAGTTATATTTATTTTCCTCTTTTAAGTCATCTTGGATTATGAAGCAGTCATTTTAGTTCAGACAGTGGCTATGATGCTGAATCTATGCGCTTGCATTAACACACATTGAAGTGATGGAGTAGCAGTCCTAAAAATCACGATCAAATTCATGATTAGGAAGCAAGGTCAAGTTACCATGTTTGGATCAGAAACAGAAAGCTGAATCTTAAGCCGTGATATTTGGTCACAGAAATAGGCCAAGAATACAAAAGAGCAGTATTTTCTTACCCTGCTTATTACATTGTTCACCTAAGCATTTGTACATTATGATATGTTTTGACAGAGTAGACATAACTAAAAATGATACGAAAGAAGTACAAAATGTTTTATATAAGTGATTGGAAAATAATGCAGAGAAGGAGATATTTTGGATAGATGTAGCATTTTGCTTCTCTTTTTGTGCAAACAAATTTTTCTGCCCCTATTACAAAGCCACTAGAGTTTCATTTTGTACTTTTGGTAGTACAATTTTCACTATTGTCTTAAGAATGAATTCTCTTGTTTTCTTGTCCTTAATTAACTCTGTGATATTTATGATGGCTTTGATCATATCAGCCAGGTAAATTTTTAAAATACCTTTTGTTAGGAGCAAATTTAATTTTCATTTCATACATTTTTCACTAGCCACTTCCTTAAATACATCTTGTATTTAACGAATGTGGTGCAGTGCCTCTTCAACCGTCTGGATGTTGCAGAGCAGCCTGGCATGCTGATTAAATGGAATGGATGGTCTGCCACACAGAGTAAAACTCCTCAATTTCTTTTAAACATGAATAATCCTATCTAATAAAAGAGAAACATGGTAATTGGCATACTACTGCTACCCTTCCCATTGGCTAATCAGGGCGATATGCAAATTAACTGCCAGCCAAGATGGCGGCCGGCAGCCAGGCAGCTTAAACTGAACATGAGGCTTGCTTGCTTCAGTGACAGAGGAAACCAACATTCCCCGCCTGCCTTGCCGG